TCTCTCGATTTGTTCTTTCCAAGTTCGATGCCTGAACGTACACCAAGGATCCTTCTTAAAAGAGATCCTCAACGGCCAGTCAGTCTTGTTGCGCAACCCCATGATGCAGCAGGAAACTCAAGAAAGGCACTACTCAAAGTCCAGGCTTCGCGTAGATCTCCCTGAAGAAGCAGAACATGCCCCGTACCAACAAGATTCCCCGCAAACACCCATAACGCTGGAGACAACCCAAAGAGCCCAATACCCCGTAATTAAGGCATATATCCTAGATGGTACTAAGGTCCCTAACATGATTTAAGCTATATTCCTTACTTAAGGGGTTTTTGGGCTCCCTGGGAACACCCTAAACACTTAGAACAAGCTCTTCAGGAAGCCGCGCAGCTTAACGGATGTGAATGGAGGGCTCCTCAATCCGCGCTCGTCAACTACGCCATACCCAGCTGCCATGACGGCAGGTATCAGTACCTAGCTAATAGTACTATGAATAACAAGGTTTAGGGGTAATATCAATCAAAGCAATAATAATAGGGTATCTATTGGGATATGGGGATAATGGAAAAGAAGATTGAAACTACTATACTATATTGGGGTCATGTTGGGAATTGAAGAAATTTTCGCGTGGGGAAGTAGCTGGTGGGTATCTTTACATGACGTCTTTGTCAGGCTTGTATGAGAAAAACACCCAGCCAGAATTTTCCTAGACCTTTGGAGGGGGACCAAAAAACAGCTACTGAAGGTCCTTCGAGACCATGTAGGGCTACTGGTGTGTATCTCTAGAAGTTTTGCCAAGCAACTCGTTTTGAAGCCTAAATGTCCTTCAGATTGCGCCTACGCATATACTTTGGGTTGAGGGCGCCAATGTGGACTATGAAGATGCGGGCCTTAGATGTGAAGTGGAGTTGCAAGTCTACACGCTGCATTCAGGGATTCCATGGGTTCTGCGTTTGCAGCCCCAACTATAAATCGTGCTAAGATGACCCTCCCCACCTAGGACAACCTCCAATGACGGAATGAAAAAATCAGTGCTCAGGGCCGATGAACTCACATAGTTCCAAAGCCTGACATGGGGCCTTGAGGATCCACTTGTTGACAGTCTTTCGCCATAAATCGCCATGGGGGTGAGGTCGGATGAGGTTGTTGTAGTTCGATAAGTTCAATTTGCCCAAAGTGTCAAGGTTGGACGTGACAAGCGAGGGGGTTAAGTCGCCTAAGCCTCAATAACAAAACCCAGGGGATTTTGGCGGTGACCCTCACGGAGCAACGACCCTACTACCATATGACTCTTCTAGATTCCTTCGCAAGGGTCTGGGTTATCAAAATCCTCCTAACAATGCCCTGAACCCATAGCCCTGTGATTATTAACCCAAACCCTGAACCCTAAACCCTATAAAAAAGCTGCAAGCCCTGACTTTGTCCAAGCAAGGCGTGTTCTGCGGGTTACTTGGAGGGTCATGGGGACTTAGTAAGTAGGTTAATAGTTAGGATAACTAGAGTTACTACATGGATTGTAGGGGTCATTGACCTACTTACTAGGTCCCCCTGACCCTCCAAGTAGGGATACTAGCACGGCAACGCGCGTCTTGACGCCTCAGCTGCAGCAAAGGAAAGTTGTGCAAAGACTGAGTACACACTAATTGTGTTCCCTGAAATGTTGTGAAGCTAGGGCAAATGTTGCCTTAAACACCATCATGATTAGATAGCTCCCTACAATATCGTTTACCTCACCCTGCCTCGCACGATAGACTCGATGTCTGGACCCTCCACCCTGAGCCCGAAGCCTGAAAATGGAAACCCAATCTCCAGAAAGGGCCCTGGAAACGGGGACCGCTGATCAATCAGCATTCTTCTGCAAAGATGACAGTGCTTGTCAAAGGGACCTATAAACCATATGGTGGCTACTAAAAGTCCTACATGGCCGCAAGTACCTTACGCCTTGGGAGTTGTAGTAGTATGCTGTACTAATAGTCCTGCAGGATCCATTAAAGTATCAACAAGATTAAGGGTCTAGGGGTTAATATTGCCCCTCTGGTGTTACCCAGCCTATAAAGCCAAAATCCCAGATTCCCCCGTAAATAGATAGAGTATGGAACTTCCCAAGAAATTGATATGCTGGAAGCACGCAGTCTGTCAGCCCTTTCGACTAGATCCTTATAAGTACTTGTTGGCAGGGCATTGTAAGGGTAGTCGCACATGAAGCTGTTGTGATGGCAAAGCTTTTACAGTGACACATGCCACTCTTACGCCCAACTTTGTGGCTGCCTCATTAATTACTTCTAGGAGCGTCCCGCCTGTCACCCGGTAGGCGGTCCGACCGCGATCCTAACAACGGCA